AAAAATAAAAATAAAAATAAAAATAAAAATAAAAATAAAAATAAAAATAAATCAATCAATCAATCAATCAATCAATCAATCAATCAATCAATCACTGTGTTGGGACTATCACTGATGTGTAGCATCAGTTTTATTAAAAATTTCTTTCCCTCACGTTAAAGCCAGTCAAGAAACTGCCTGCAGTCCTCAGCAGTATAGAGGAAGTAGCTTTACTATACAGTACAGTACACTGTTGTGCAGTAGGAATGGATATACGTGAAATATCTTTGTTTCCAACCTGCCAATTACCCCCATGATCTTACAGATGCTTCTTTCTGGAGACACTTACTTTACATTGAATTAACCTTCCCTGTACTGGCTTCTAAAGAGAAGGCATAAGTTATCATAGAAAATAAATTGTACAGTATTTGTTTAGGTATCGTCACACAGGGAAATACTGCGTTTTGGACCACTTGTGAAGTGGTCTACTGTGATCTACAGTATTTCCTGGTGACCCCACAATATGGGGGGAATTGTGCTTCAGCCAGACCGTCATCTGTGCCCAAGCTAGATCTTTCTGGTTCAGCTTTAGGGCTACTAATTCTGGCAGCTGGGCTGGAATGATTCCCTGACAGATGGAATGGAAATTGCTCCCTGCAACATGGCTCTTTCCAGTGTAAGTGGACCTACACCTTTCCCACCATCTGATTGCACCCTTAGTTATTATTATTTATTTTAACAACAGTGAACTTGTGAACTGAGGAGGTAGACATGAGAACATATGTATACTCTGTCGGGGGGAGGGGAGCCAAAAGAAGTAGCATGTTTGCAGTGGGTGTCTTAATGTGAACCCTTACGCATTTTTTCCAAACAGTTATTCCTGTATCTGCAGTCTCATAGCTGCTGCAAGAAGGAAAGTCTGAACATGTAATTTCTCATGTAGCTCTCATAATGTACAGGAAACAAGAATCAGAAAGGGACACCTGGCCATTGTTAATTAGAGCCTCACGAGTAGAACCTTTTGGCAACTGGTGAAGGTGCTGTTTCTTAGTCGACTCAACCACCTGAGCTGTTGTGTTCCACCAAATATTTGGGTGGAACATTTTCAGGCTACATACAGTGTGCCCTCAGTTTTTTCCTTTACTCCTGTGCTACACTGAAATTAGGTACCCCAGTGTGCTGTAGTGGATAGACTGATAGACCAGGACTCTGGTAAACAGGAGCCAAATCCCCTCTCAGCCATGGAAACTCACTGAGTGGTAAGACCACTCCTCGGGTATCACACCTACTAGGCTGGCTATAAGTTGGTTCCAACTTGGTGGCACATAACAACAACAAACACTGAAAATTGTGGCACCTTGTTGGCCTCCAGTAGTACAATCTAAGCTTAAGGAAGTCATATCACAATTGCACCCTGGGAAGATACCTGGCCCAGATAGCATTCCCCTTGAGGTGTTAAAGGGAAGTCTGGATTGGTGCCCCCATCACTACCACTAGGTAATATTTTTTACAATGATTAACATTTAAGGGACTAAACCCCCTCTTTGGAGTAAGGATATTGTTATTCCCATTTATAGGAAAGGTTCAAGATCTGACTCTAGTAACTATTGTCCCATAAGCCTGTTTTCCGTTATTTGGAAATTGCCTGTCTCTTCTGCCTCAGATCACTGTCTAACTCTCTCACTTTGCAGAAAGGTGCTCCAGCTTCTAAGCCAGAAAGTTATTTTTGGCTTTCATTGATTTTAAATCAGCATTCAAGTTTTTCCCCAGGGCAATGCTTTGAAGAAAGTTAGAAAAGGTAACTGTTGGGGCCTGGTTGCTGTTCCTGTTTAAATCATTATATTAGAACATTTATGCCCAAGTGAGATGTGGCTCTGAAGGAAAATGCACAAATGCAATCCTTACGTTCAGGGGGGTCAGGCAACATAGTTTACTAGCTCCCCTTCTATTTAATATCTGCCTTGGAGACTTTCCACAGGTGCTGAGCTTGTTAGATCCACATTCTCCAGAGATTGCTTTTATAAAGATTTCTAGTCTTCTCTATGCTCAGAAACTTCTTTCTGACCAAGAGAGGTAGTAGGTCTGTCCCTGCTAAAGTTGAAGTTTTCAAGACCAGATTAACTTCCGAGCTTCTAATGGAAGAGGCAGTATAAACCACTGATTCACTCTCATCTATTGAAAGGTTTCTGTATTTTTGAGATCTATTCTAGGTATTCCCAAATGTATATGGGAACCAATTCTTAATCCAGGAGTCAGTTTATGCTCGCTAATAAGCCTGGCCTGGAGCTGCACTATAATATTTATTTATATTGCGCTCTATACCAGAGCGCATTCCAGTAGTCAAAAATAGTTAAAATACAACCATAACATAATTACAATGATAAAACGCACAGTGAGCATTTATCATTCAATAAGACAACTTATCAAAATAACTATAATAACAATATAATGATTAAAATACAGTAATTCTGTCCCAATAATTGCCTATTTCCATGGTCAACCCCTATGGTTCCAGGTTGTACAAGTAAGTTTTTAGATCTCCTTTGAATTTGTCCAACTCTGGTTCCGCACGAAGGTATTGCGGAAGGGAATTCCATAATTTTGGTGCCAGATGAGAAAATCCTCTAAGTCTGGAGTTAGCCACCTTGGTCCAAGGGACTAGTAAGAGACCAGAATCCGCAGATTGAGTCCTCCTATGAGGAATATGCCACCCCACAAGTTCCGCTAAATAGCAAGGGCAAGAAAAATGTAATGCTCTAGATGTCGGAAAAAGTACCTTATAATATGTTCTTGATCTGATGGGTAACCAGTGCAATGCTCTGCCGTGCTGGGAAAGTAGCGTGGCAGGCTTAGAACTACTCGTACCACGCTATTTTGCACCAAGGTGAGAGGACGAAGTGCAGAAAAAGAGAGACCAGCTAACAAGCTATTACAATAGTCCAGACATGAAACCACCAGGGGATGAACAAGAAGTTTTGTAGTCTCAAGAGTCAAGAAGCGACGAATTCAGTGAATATTAGCCAAATGGAGTTTACATGTCCTGGCTGTTGTTCACAAATGAACAAAGCGACAGCTGATCATCCACTAAAACACCAAGATCCCTAGTCTCTGAGACGGGTCACCAAGCAGCCCTGGAGAGAAACAGAGGAAACAGTCAAAGGGTGAGTGGGATGATCTGAGTAAAAGACCAGAACTTCAGTCTTGTCCATATTCGATTTCAGATGGTGAGAGGATATCCACAATGAAACATTTGACAAACAATCTGTCAAAAAAAAAGTCCAGACTTTATCATTAAGCTCTGAGTAAGACTGGTATACTTGGATATCATCCACATAGATATGATAATGAAAGCCCTGTTCAAAAATTATGGCACCCAGGAAAAGTGTATATAACGGAAAAAGAATTGGGCCCAACATTGAACCTTGTGGGACACCAACAGTAAGAGGAAAAGGTTGAGAGGTTTTAGTACCCAACAATACTGAAAACGAATGATTTGACAAGTAAGAAGAGAACCAAGAGCTAGTGCTTCCAGAGATTCCCAAAAAACACAGTCTTGTCAAAAGTATTTGATGGTCAAGTGTGTTGAATGCTGCTGACAAATCAAGCAGCACTAACACTGATGAATGATGTTGAGCCTTGGCCAACAAGATATCATTCAAGACTCGAGAGTGCAGACTCAGTTGAATGTCCAGCCTGAAATCCTGATTGAAATGGATCAATGGCATTATGGCAGGCTAAATAAGGAGTCAATTGAGAAAGAGCTGCCCTCTCTATAAGTTTAGATAAAAAGGGAAGGAGAGAAACAGGTCGATAGGTAGCAGAAACAGAAGGATCGAGGGAAGGTTTTTTTCAACAAGGGATGAACAAAAGCATGCTTAAGAGAACTTGGAAATTTGCCAGTAGAAAATGAACAAACAATTCACTAAACTAGTCAGAAATGGCAAAAGGGAAGGACCTGTAACGGAATAAAGAAAAGAGGGGAAGGGATCACTGTGGCAAAAGGGAAGGACCTGTAATGGAATAAAGAAAAGAGGGGAAGTGATCAGTAGGTGCAGTGGTTCATGGAGAAGCAGACAGAATTCCAGAAATTTCCTCCTCTGATACCCAGGAGAACTCAAACTGGTCTCCTGCAGATCAAGAGGGCGAAGGACAGGGTGGAAGGGAATCTGTCAAAAAGGTTGAACAGATTTTTTGAGTTTTCCTGAAAAAAGTAATCAGCACATCAACTGATGGAGATAGAGAGTTGTCTACAGTTTGATTCATGGAGTAGCAGACAGAATTCCAGAAATTTCCTCCTCTGATACCCAGGAGAACTCAAACTGGTCTCCTGCAGATCAAGAGGGCGAAGGACAGGGTGGAAGGGAATCTGTCAAAAAGGTTGAACAGATTTTTTGAGTTTTCCTGAAAAAAGTAATCAGCACATCAACTGATGGAGATAGAGAGTTGTCTACAGTTGTATTGGGCAACCTTGGGGCCAATAAATTCCTAAAGGTATTAAATAACTGTTTTGGATTATGTGCCTGAGCTGTAATAGTAGACTGATTGAAGGTCTGCTTAGCTTTCTCTAAATTTAAAAAATACCTTCCCCAGTGCTAATAATGATAATGAGAATGCTCTGATGGTGCACGCTTCCGTTGTCATTCTCGCCGACAA